TATAATCCCAGGAACATGGAACTCTAGTAACACTATGTGTAGCCATTATTGTAGTGGGAAATACCGTACCCCGAATGTTCGTGTTTCCACAATTACGTTTTTAACACCACTTTATTAGAGATGGAACAGTTGGATGTATCGGAACTGAAAATAAGTCTGGACGGATGCAAGAAAATGAATTTCTTGTTCTTATACAACATTTTTTTAAACACGTAAAGCCAAATGAAGCCAATAAAGTGCTTGCATTGCTAGACAACCACTCGTCTCATATTTCGATATCTCCGATAGAATTTTGCAAAGCTAATTTCATTACTCTACTTTCGTTTCCGCCGCAAAATTCACTTTCAATCGAGATATTTTAACGATAGTGATTTTAATGCATCAACTGTAACTGATAGACCTCTATATGAAAAAAACATAAAACATAATCAACCAGAATCACCTACAGTTCAACACAACAGTCACTTGGAAAGTCAACCGGGTCCATCCACTATCTTGTCACCAAAAATACACACTACTACATCACCCAAGCCTAATAATCCAGCAGTCTTCATTTTGCCTTAAGATATTAAGCCATTGTCAAAAGCAGACCTAACCAAACCCAAAAAAGGAGGAAGAATGAGACGAAAAACAGCTATTCTGACTAATACACCAGAGAAGATGTTGATTGAAGAAGAAAATTCGAAAAAAAGGACACAGTCAAGTCTAAAGTTCAGCTTGAACATAATCCAAAGAACAAATCTTTGCAAGCTTTGCCATTGAAGACAAATATCAAAAAAGAAGAGCACCCCTGAAAGCAAACGAAAAAGATTCTGCTGAGTCTTTCGATGAGGAAGTTTTGTGCTTGGTATGCGGTGGTCCGCAGATTGGTTACAATGTAGAGAATGTGAGTATTGGGCACGTTTAAACTGTACAAATAAAAGCCCATTTTACATTTGCTTCTATTGTGAATCTCACATTGATTAGTTTTTCTCTGTAAAAATATGTTACCAGCATTTGTTATTGTTTTTATTTCTAATTCTTACACATATCTATTATTTTCTGTCATTGTGGTATGAAATATATTTTTTACTACTTTCTATTTAATTTATTTTTACTTTATACTATAGTATATAGTATGTTTATTGTTACAATCAACACCAGCTCGGTTACTATTGACACCAATAAGGTGTCAATTATAACGCATGAGGTAACCTGACACAAAGGGTCATAATTTCATTTCTGTAATACTTAAGCTGCTTTTGAGTCCCTAGTAGAGGTTAGAATAAATTAAAAATTTAACAAAGGTCAACTAAGTAAAAAAAATCAATTTGTGATATTTGATACAACCGACACCAGTCTCCCCTACTCATTTATCATCTTCAAATGTTTTTCGAATTGGAAATATTACTGTACAAGTGACATTCAATAACAACTAATACAGAATTATATTAGAGTAACTTTTTGTTATCTTAAGATACAGGGAAGTAATTTTTGATACTTTTATACGTGGAGAATTACTGCAAAATTTTAGATCCATAACTAATAATACTGGTACATCCCTGGCTCCAAAGCAATACCGTTGATGTGTTTACTTTTGTTAAATAAACATATATACGTACTGAGCACACTGAAAATGTTATACAAATGAAATATACAGTGCAAAATAAAAATGAAAACGAATGTAAAATTCTAACTTTAGAGTTCTAGAGGAAGTAATAGCCTTTGATGATTGTTTGCAAATGTCAGTCTGTTTCATGTAGTTCACTGTATTGCAAAAAATTTGGCTAACTACAGGCTTATTATTAGTTATTATTAGTGTTCGGGAAAGTATTTGGCATTATATATTTATTACTGCATTATAATATGATTTTATTTTTTAACTATTATTTGTTCACAAAATATTGATAGCACAAAATATGCCTTAAAGTCATAAAACGGTCGTTAAATTTGTATCATTATAGGTGTTCCTGAGGTATTTATTCATTACAACTAATATTAATATTAATAATGTTTTATTACTAATATATTTAGCAAAAAACAATTAAAACTTTCACGGCTAATGTTGGTTATTATATTATATTAATAAAATAATAATTTAACCATTAACAATTTTGTAAATAAGAATACCTTATCTCTTTGGATATTTCAACACTAATCTTCGCGTTTAATCACTTTACCAGAAAATTTGGTATTCATATCCGAAGGTACTTTCCGCTGCAAGATAATTATTTCGTATTGCAAATTCTTATTTCTCTACAAATAGTTTTATTAATTCTCCCCTTTTATTTCTCTGGCTATTTTTAGGCTAACTTTAGGCCAGAAATATTTTTTCTTTACCAAAAACAGATTTCGTTTAATTAACACAAACGAAAATGAAAACACAAATGAAAAGTTGTAGTTATATATAAAAACTACTATCCTGACTAAAATTGACCTTAATGATGAGCTTCCAAATATTGACTGCGACGCTTGGACGGTAATGGGCGTTTTTAATAACGTTCAATATTGCATTTTTATTTTGGTTGAAAACAACGATATTTGTTTTGTTCTCACAATAAGGTAAAAAAGTCTGGAATAACTTTTATAAATTTGTATCAAACACAAAACCGTATATTTTTTAACTAAATATCAACTGTTAAGGAGTTTATTATATTTGCAAACGAACAGCTACGAAATATTGGCACATATTTTGGCCCCAGACGTATTACCTTAATATTCGTATATTTTATACCCATTTATAGAAATATCCATGACCTTGACAAACAATGGTCATGTAACATGAATCGGAATCTTAAATACTGTAGATAATCTTTAAATCTAGGGCGTAAAAAACTAACATTTAGCGACTTGTCGCATAAATCGTTATGATCTTTTTCTTTCTTGTTTTAATAGATTTTAGTCACGAGAGTCGTTTGTGCACGTGAAAAATTGGATCAGTTTCGGTTTGTACCTGATTCTATCATCAGTGTTAAATAACTGCTACATATTTTACGTAATTTACACTTTAGATAACAAAACATATTTGTTTTTACCTATATGAATAATAGACAATAAATAGAGGAAAAAATATATAGAGATCCATTCTAAAAAAACGTACTTACATAGAAGTAAATATCTCTCGCGTATAATGGTATATTTTATTAAAAATAATTTAAAATTTATCCAAAATGATTATCGAAATCTTCAAAACGTTTTCGGTCCAGCTAGACCTTCATTAGTGAGAAATATGTACAGTAGTTGAAACAAGCTACGTAATTATGATGATACAATAGTGTTTTCCAATACCATAGAAGGGCTGCAAAACCTAATGTACAAAATAAATGAAACAAGTAGAAAATATGGACTGGACAGAAACACCAGCAAAACCAAGCTAATGATCATCAGCAAGGATAACATAACTGGAGCAAATCTGTATGTGAACCAAATGAGAATTGAATGAGTCTCACAATACAATTACTTAGCCATAACCTCACCCTAGAAACAAAATAAGGCTCCCTAAATATTACTTGTACTTAGTGCTTATGTACTTATTAGAAAAGTGGACATTAAAAGCGGAAACTCTATCAACACTTCATGCTTTTGAGCTATGGTTATACAAAAGGATCCTGAAGATATCATGGACAGAAAAGTCACCAATAAAGAGGTACTACAAAAGATGAATACAATCGCGTATTTGGGACATATAATGAGAAATCAAGGCAGAAATGAGCAACTCCAATGCATTTTGCAAGACAAAATTGAAGGAAAAGTGGCCTCAGGACGAAGAAGAATATCCTGGCTTGCTAACCTGAGAGCATGGTATAGAAAGACCTTAATACAGCTATTCTGTATAGCAACCAACAAACTCATCATAGCCAGAATGATCGCCAATATTCAGAGCAACAGGTACAGAAACTAATTCACTGTTGGTATGGTGGTTGACTGATTTCCGACGTAGTACATATTCCTAGTAGTTACTATTAATTAAATTGATTTGATTATGGAAATTGGTATAAACCTTAAGTCCTCTATTGAAAGGTAGTACCTTTTAATAGAACGACCACATCGAAAGTCATACACTGGAGATAGTTTTTGATAACTGGTCCTAATAAGACACCCAACTTTCACTTATGACTACACGTACCAACAGCTTCCTTGAGAAGGTGAGTGGTCTGAAGTAGGAGTACTCTGTTGCCATTTAGTGGAGAAATCAACCCTAAAGGCGAAAGAACCAATAAAGTCAACATCATCAGGATGCAGAAAGTAAAAAGCAACTTCTGCTTTAAAGATACTTTATGGATATCTTAGAAAATTACTTATCATGTCAAGTAAAATCAACAACGGCCCTGTATTTGACCAGTTTTTAGAGTTAAAACATGCACATTAAAATTAAATACCATAAGATGACTAGAATACTTTGAATTGTGTCTTTTTTGCAGAATGCTCAGAATATCACGGACACAACACATTATAAATCTAACAGTATTAAATAGCATAAATAAAGAACTTATTACAACGATTAAGAAAAGAAAGACCTCGTACCTAGGCCACATATTAAGAAATGACAAACATAACCTGCTACGATTAATAATTAAAGGGATTATAGAGTACAAAATAGGATTAGGCAGAAGAGCGATGTCATGGATTCGTAATATCAGAACTTGGACGGGAATGAGCGTTTAACTGTGTAACAATTACAAAGAGTGGCGTAGAATAGACAACATTTTAATGTAGTGATCGCATAAAAGAAGAAGAAGATAGGAATTAAAATACAATTAGTTTGCTTTGTATTCAGTATAATTAAACGCTATCGATAATTAAGCCAAAAGGATAACACCTTCTATCATTTTGAATTATGTTTTCCACATTAATTTTATGAGTTTTTATTTTATCGTATTATCTTTCAAAAAATAATGTTATAAAAATGTCTTGTGGTTTAAAATTTTCCAAAATATAGAATAAAAAAAAACATCAAAATGTACAAATTGTTTTTAAGAGGCAATGACACATTTTAACATTATTAATGATTTGTGACTTACCTATAACGGTTAAGTTAATTGCGAAATTCCGCGTTGGGGACACTTTAAAATCCACTCTACACCTGTAAACCCCTTCATCGTCCAATTGAACGCCATCAAGTGTTAAGGCTGCAGGTTTGGAAACAGTGACGAAATAAGCTCGCGGTCCAAATATCTTCGAATCAGACCAGTGAAGCGCTTTATTGAACGCCCTGCCTCTAACATCGAAACTGAAACAAAACAAATAGTAAATGCGACGGTGAAAAGAAAACAAATAGTGCTGAAATTTTGTTTTCAATTTAAAAGCGAGTATGAGGTGCATTTTAAACGAAAATATATCTGTTTTAGAAAAATATTGTTTCAAAGCTTTACAGTTCGCAGTTTTATAGTTCGGTAGGTTGATTTGCTGTTATTGGAAACACTACTATACATTTTCTAATTTTTATTTGATTGTTCGCATATAACGATTTCATTTCTGCAAAAATACACTCTACTATAACCGTATGTATATAAATAAATGTATAACGCATCTGAATATATTAATAAATACATGAAAATGGAGACATTCAGTTTAATATATGTTATAAACAATAAACATAATAGAAGGGGTAGTACTTTTTATTTGAGATATTAATGCAAAAAGCCATGGACTAGTAGTTAGGGGTAGCCGTATATAGCCAGAATATTAAGGCTCTAAGCAAAGAACAACAAATGCAAAAATCGATACAAGTAAATTAAGGAACCCAATCATAAGGCCACGCCTGACAGATGAAATCAACAACATAAATGTTAAAGAACAAATTCTGCAAAATACTGAGAAAGAGAAAAAATGGTTATTATTAAATACAGAAATAGATAAAAGTCAAAAAGAAATTCTAATACAAACCAGATATAAAAAGAAGCAATGGATGACGGAATGAATTTTATATTTAATGGAAGAAAGACGTCAATATAAGAACAAAGATAATCAGATGTACAAAAAAGTAGATAACCAAATAAAATACAGAATTAAGAAAGCGAAAGAACAATGGCTAAAAGAACAATGCACAGAAATAGAAGAATGCCAGAAAAGACATGATAGTTTTAACACACATAAAAAAATTAAAGAAACTCACAACAATAGATCAAGAAAACCAAAAATATTGAAAGATGCAAATGGAAAACTTGTATTGAATACTAACGACAAATTAAAGAGATGGACAGAATAGATCAATTCAAAAGACCTATTCAAAAACAATAGAACAGACCAGATGGAGATAGAAGTAGAACAGGATATGGTTTTAAAGATATTAAAAGAGGAAATTAAAATTGCATTAAAAAAACAGCAAAAATGGTAAAGCATTAGGTCCAAACCAAATCCCTATAGAAATCTTAAAATGCATGAATGATGAAACCTTAGACATTATAGTAGACTTATTTAACTCAATATACAAAACAGAACACATACCGAAACAATGGTTACTTTCCACCTTTTGTGCTACCCCTAAAAATACAAACGCTAAATATTACAGTGTATACAGAACAATATCACTAATAAGTCACATTCTCAAATGATTCCTGAAAATAATACATGGTCGTATAAATAAAAAACTGAAAGAAGCAATAGATGATAGTCAGTTTGGGTTCAGAAACGGACTAGGAACCAGAAAAGCGTTATTTGCTTTTAATGTGTTAGCTTAAAGATGGAGGGATATGAATGTTAATGTGCATGTTTGTTACGTTGATTTTGAAAAAGCATTTGACAAAGTAAGACATGAAAAATTTGTCAAAATTCTACAGATAAAAAACAAAGGCCACAGGGACTTACGAATAATAACAAACCTCTACTGTAATCAAAGAGCACCAATCGTAATAGATAACGAACCCAGTCCAGAAATTGAAATCACGAAAGGAGTTAGGCAGGGATATATTCTGTCCCCATTACTATTTAATGTATATAGTGAAGCCATTTTTAAAGAAGTATTACTATCTTAAAGTGAAGGAATAATAATTCACGGAAGATCTATTAACAACATAAGATATGCAGATGACACCGTGATTATGGCAAGATCTGCTGAACAACTTCAAGTACTGCTAAACAAAACAAACAGTTTTTGTGAGCAATATGGACTAAAAATGAATATAAAAAAGACCAAATACATGATAATAACAAAGACAACAAATATACCAACAAACATTACATTTGGGAAATGTACCAATAGAAAGGGTTGATAAATACAAATACCTAGGAACCTGGATTGCAGATAATAATGATCAAACAACCGAAATAAGAGTTACGATAGAAATAGCAAAGAATGCGTTTGTAAAAATGAAAACAATTCTCTGCAACACAGATCTTAAATTAGAACTGAGAGTAAGAGCACTGAGATGCTACGTGTTTTCGATACTGCAATATGGACTTAAAAGCTGGACATTGGAGCAAGAACACATAAATAAGTTACAGTCCTTTGAAATGTGTTGTTACAGGAGGATGCTTAGAATAGCATGGACACAGAAGAAAACTAACACGGAAGTATTTCCAGAAATGGGCAAAGAATGCGAAATAATAAACACGATAAAAATAAAAAAAGTTACAATATCTGAGACACGTAATAAGGGGACAGCGATATGAACTGCTAAGGCTGATAATACAGGGAAAGATAAGATAAAAAAGGAGTATAGGAGGAAGGGGGGTGGCATGGTTGAAGAAGTTAAGGGACTGGTTTAAATGCAGTTCTATAGAACTCTTTAGAGCAGCAGTAGATAAAGTAAAGATAGTGATGATGATATCCAACCTACGATTGGGAGATCGCATTTAAGGAAGAAGATGGACAAGAACTCAACGGGGATAAGAAAGGCATATAAAAACCATCTCAATAAATTACTTTAGAAATAGTCATGGCTCAAGTCAATAACAAGTGAGAACTCACTAAGTACGGACAGTGGGGCTTTTCAGACCCTTAATCAACAAAATCGGTACTTATTAAATATATGCAAAAATATCACATTTAAGATACGAAGTGTAACAATAGTTTACGAAAATATCGAGACATAAGCTCTTCCGCAACAGTATATAAATGTTGCTAAAATATTAAAAGACTTTTTATTAGTTTTGATTCTCTCCGTATAGCTATCCAATACTTCGCTCACAAAAACTCAGGTACTGTCGAACAATTATAAGAGTAAAAGTAAAAACAAAAGAGTGTATATTCGTACATTGTTGTTAAAAATGAAGCATAGAAAAATTTCGTTGCAAGTGTATTCCGTTAAAGTTGCAAACCGCTTAGATAATTGTACACTTACGCGTTGCAATAATTTGTAAAAAAAACTTTTTAATCAACTACCTTTTTGGAAGAGACGAGTTTCATCTGTCAAACAATGAAGTCGTGTCTTAGTTAGGAGAAGCAGTCAGCTACATCATTACCAATATTTTGTGGTTGATGTATGTCGAAGAAGACATAGTTGTCGATAGCGGGTGCTATCATTTTATTGGTGTAAAGTACAACCTACACAATATGTTGCCAAAAATACATTGCTGCTATATCGAGTATAACAACATTTGTTAAGAATTTATCTTGTGGGCTATCATCTAGAGTTATTGTGAGTGGTCTTACTAATAATATTAGCTCCAATTATATACAAAGTAGAGTAATCTACGGTTATTTTCGACAATATTTTCCTGATCAGTGGTTAAAACTAACTACCGATGCAATCAGTTCCTCTAAGGAATAACGATTTCATAAATTGCACTTTTCAGAACTTTCATTAACTTTCATATCTTTTCATTCACAAATAATAGTAACAAACATTAATTATTTAAATAAAGCTGTGTGAGTAGGTACACCGAGCAAAAAGACAAAAGAAGGAATATAAAGATAGTGGGGGCAAAAATTTTGTTAGACAGGAAGTGTCATCTTGAGAGGCCAAACTAAACAAGGAAAGAGAGTCTTTCCTTGTTTAAGAAATACAAATTTAATGGGTTATGTTATTGTTTGACCAACTGTCACATGAAATCTTATTTATATGGAAGTTTTTTAATAATTGTTTCACATTTAGACTGTTATCGCTAATACTTAATTAAAACTTTCTCGTCTAAGACATTCTGAAAACTGAAAATTTAAATTTGGCGCATTCGCATTTCTGGATATGTCCGCCATCAGAGGCCACTTTTTTGGTCTCCTTTTCATAACGATTAGATTCCCTCTTTTGTCTTTTTGCTCGATGGTGAGTAGCCACTTGTGAAGTGTGGGTTGGTCCTTTTTTAATTTTTGCTAAAACTGATTTTTAAAATCTTGTCTTTTTACTTCTGCAACTTTATTGTAAATTAGTTTAGTAATATTTTGTACATTGCTATAAATTACTACTTTTAAAACCAATTATCTCGAGATAAGCCTAAAACATTAAGAAGAAATATTAATATGATCTACTCTTTGGATATTTTTTAACCCTCGATCAGTACCGCTGTTAGAATTTAATCTGGCACTTTTAATTTTTTTTATATTACTTTTCTTTCGCGTTCCGTATATTTATCTCCAGCTATAGCCCACTCAAAAGTTTTGTCTAGTCACTCCTATGATTAATTTAAATTGAAATCAACAAAAATCTGTTCAGTGCGCTATGAAAGTTGTCCATGTCGTGATGTTAGTAAAAATATAACGCGGTACTGATTACGTAGTTATGAATTTTGAATTATATTAAAATATTTTTTATGAGCTAGACTAAATTTGGACTTTGTTGTTGTTTGTGATGGCGTAAGAGAGGGAACAGCAACGGTTGCTAACCCTTTGGGAGGCTATAGAAGATGATATGCAACAAGATGAAGTCGATCAATCGGACACAGATATTTCAGAGGCCGCTTTCTCAAGTGACGAAATAGATAAAGAGAATGTACAAGGCCCTGCCTCTACACAATCAAATTTAGAAAGATCTGTAAGAAGTGGTCCCTATTATACTGGTTAAGATGATACTAAATTGTTAGTGCACCAAAATTAAAATAAAGTTGGAAAAATCAGCGCTCAAAATATTGTTACACAGATACTAGGTGTGACAGGTATTGCAAAAGAAGCCAAAACTATATTGGATTGTTGGAAAATTTTTTTCTCGCATGAATCCATTCAATATATTACAGATTGTATAAAGGAGAAACTTCAAAAAATTAGACTCACCAGAAATGCAAAACATTACACTCCTACAGATTTTGACGAAATGAGTGCATTTGTCGGGATTTTATATTTTGATG